TTTTTTGAGTAAATTTATATTATTACTTGTATATATATATATATATATATATATCAGTCGGGCCTCTATTTTACAAAATCGTTAAAAATCCCGATAAAATATCTTCTTATATGGAAAGTTCGTTAAATAGAAAATCACCATTTGAAATACTTAAACACAAAGCAGTTTTCAAATTCAAAAACACTTGGCATAATTAAAATAGTAATTGATACACCTTTATTTTGTAAATTGTTATCTACTATCGAATTGTTTTAAATGATTATAGCAGTTCATCGTATGAAGTTTTGGTGATTTCCTTATCAATTCTGTTTTCATCTTCCTCGTCCTTCTCACAATTTATTGCTGCATTGTTTTTATTTTTTGCACTGTCCAAAATATCCGATTCTGTTAATGTTTCTGTGGTTGCGGCTTCAGAATCAATAAAAATAAAATCATTAATCAGTACATCCTTGTTAATTTCGAGGTTCTCTCTTAGCATTACCCACATCTTCTTAAGTTCCTCTAATGGAATATTACCCTCGTCCTCAGCACTTTCCAAATTCCCCGCGCTGACTAAGAATCCAGCTTTAGCAAAACTGTTACGAATAGCTTTTGAAATTTTTGTGATGCTTTCTCGTAAATTGATTTTTGGCATGGATTCCTGTATGAAATGCAAACAGAAAGGGAAAGGGATTTTACCACTTTCTCTAAAAGTGGCTGCGAAAATCAATTCAAGGTCATTTCTCCTGTAAAATACGAAGTATTTTGGGAAATAGGTTCCTTCTTGGTTCTTCTAAAAAAATCGCAAAATAGAGAAATTCGCAAAATGGAAGTTCGTTAAATCGAAGTAGGACTGTATATATATTAGATGAACCGGAAAGTAATGTCATTTCGGTGCATTCGATATTTGTTATCAAGATTTTATTTTTAATCAATAATGTATTCACCCTCGTTAACAACAACATTTCAATGCCTGGTCGAAAATGAAAAATGAATCGAAATAGATCGAAAAAAATAAATTGGTTTTTAAGACTAACGAATATTTAATGCGCCGAAACGACATCATTTTCCGGTTCACTTAATATATATTAATAACTTTCATGATAACTTTCAAAATAACTTTACGGATTTCTTTATTTTTTGATTTTCTGCCTGTACTTTAAAAATGTGTTTAATAAAATAAAAGAATTGCATGATAATAAAAAGTATAATTACTTATTTCATTTTTAATGCATCTCTGCATAAGAACTCAAAGGGTAACGGATTTTTTTATTTTTTGTTTCTGATACTCAGGAAAGAAAATATTTCTCGCAAGAAATAATTTTAATAATAAATATTTAGTATATTAGCAATCTTAAATATTTAGTGTCTATTTTTAATTTTATTAATTATTATTTTTGAATTTAATGAAAAAGTAAAATTAAAAAATGGAAGTAGTAAATTAAAGTAAAAAGAAAAATAGGACAGAGAAAAAGAATTGCCACATTTTGCTTAGGAGTTCCTTTTCTCAGAGGTCATTATTTGATCATTGTTTTCATAAATAAACTTAATTTGACCACCATGACTCATAAATATTTGATATTTTTAAATGCTGACCACATTAGACTAATTTCTGAGAATTGCAGGTGTATCATTCCACGAACATCTTACGAAGGATAGTTCTAAAACAACACTTTCTGAATTTATATAGATTTTCTCATTTTTTTTCCATTTATTTATTTTGACAAAAACAATACTTTATACATAACTGTAAAAGTCAAAGCATTTCTTAAATCTTTTAGCGCAGGTTCCAGATAATCTTTGTATGAAAGTTTTTTTTCGTAATAATCAAAAAAAAATTTCAGAAACTTTATACTGGAAATTATTTGTAAAAACAAGTTTTTTTTAATATTGTGAATTTAATTACAGTATTATTATGATTTTATGTAAAGTAATAATATGAATTACAATATAAATTTGATAAAATTGAAGTAATTGAATACTTAGATAAATTTTTCGAACATCGGGCATTCTTGCATGCATTTATAAGGGTTTTTATTTAAGTGAAACATCGAATTAGTATTTTTTCCGCTAATATCCTTATAGACGATTATTAAAAGTGATAATATCCTTATAGGTGTTGAATGACCATGTATCTACTAAAAAACTATTGTTATAATTCTTTTAACATTTCATAATTTTTTAACTTCTTCAATTAACCTTTTCAATTAACTTAAATTTATTTAAAATTAATTCCACGACATAGTTCCATATTAAGTAATTAATTTAATTTTATTGAAGCATCACGAGATGGTTATTTTGATAATTCCCAATTAGAAAATCCTGCTACTATCTTTACCTTGTTTTGTTAAGAGGATTATTTGTTTCCTCCCGACGGAACTCAACCATCAAAGGGGTCAAGATACGGAGAGAAAAAAACTCTGAACATGCTTTTAATCATCCGTATTTAATTTTCTAAAATAAACTGATGTCGGTTATCTATTAAGTAATATTTCGAAACACATAAAGTACCCAATCAGAATTTTGAAAATAGTGATGTATTTGAAATTATGTATTTCAGATTCTCTATTGATTTTTTCAGAAAAAAATTATACCGTTACAATTCTGCAATCGGCATATACTGCTATCGGAAAGATAGTTTCGCATTATCCATTGCTATATTTTGTTAATACTTGGTGCATAAGTCGACTTTTCAAAACCCCAAAATTTTACGAAAATCTAGGAGTCTAGTTACACACCGGTAACAAATACACAAACATTCGTTCAAACAGTCGAACATTCGTTGCTTGTTTATAAACAATGTCGATGTTTATAAACAATATCGATGTTTTATAAACAATGAGACTACAATAACTCTTTAATTAATTAACCTCTTTTAAAAACTATTTTCTTTAGATATTAATTTTTTTAAAAAACAATACTTCAAACCACATTCATAAATTCTTTGTTTTAAGTTACATTGGAATCCAAAGAGTTTTTCGGCATTATCCAACTCAGATTCTCATTCGTTTTAAGAACAACGAAAACAATCCAAACAAAGGCATAATAATGAATAACTATCAAAATTTAGAGCAGCATCATTTTGCAGTTTTACATTTTTTATAAAAAAAAAATTCTTTGAAACTCTAAAAACAATCGAGAGTTATTTCTCCTAATCTCATCATGAGACGCATTTTCATTTTCGACTTTTTTTTGAAAGATCGATTGATAGCTCCAATACTAAATCCTCCAATACATCCTCCAATACTAAAAATACAACAATAATAATAGAGATGCAATGAGTAGAGAAAACCTGGTTTATTCCTGTGAATAAACTGGATTGACTTAACTCACAAAACTCGCTTCATCGAATCTGGAAACATGAAATGAAAAGTTACATCGGTAATATACATAACTGCCCAGACCACAAATGATTATGTTTAAAAGGAAAAGTAATCACGTAAATTTGGGTTGAAAATTGAAAAGGAGCATTTTTGCGTAAGCACGCATTTCTCGCTACTTTCGTAAATATGCACTTTGATCTGTGACTCAGAGCTCCAAGAATTTGAAAATGTTGGTATCTAGCAAAAACTTTTAGCAGTCAGTAAAAATATTATCTCCTAAGTCCTATTACAGAGAGTGAAATTTGAAGAACACTCGAGAATGCAAAAATAAAATTGAAATTTTGTTTCTCCGATGATTGTTGAAGATAGGGTCAAAAACAGGGGAGAAAAATCGTTCGAGCTTTATTCTCAGACCGATTTTTTTTCATATAAATATTAAAATTAAAAAAAAAGTCTGATCGTAATTAAAAAACTAAAAATATAGTCGTCATGCGAAATGTTTCGGTCGCCAATGGCGACCGCGTGACAGTATTTCATGAGCCCTGGCTGTGACTATTTTCGTCAACAAGCGTTTCGAGCTGAGTCCAGATTTAAAAACTCATCCACCGACGATATGGTATGTATGTTACGATCAATGTAGTTAATCGATCATTATTAATTACTACTAAATTACTTAAAATTATTAATCTTTTAGAATTTATCACATTTATCGGTTATTATTAATAATTACCAATGAAGTTTGGTCCATACAATAATTTTCAACACATTTGGCAACACTTCGTTTTTATCAGTTCAATCCAAGAAATGTCTATAAATATCACTTTCGCTAGCATTGTTATTAAAATATATTTAGTAAATTTCAAAAGAAAAAAAAAACTTGAATGGCGAAAAGAAGAGAAGAAAAAATATATAACAAGCGGGTATGGTATATTTCATATATTTTATATATTTCAATTCAAATTGTTTTTTAAATATAACAATACATTTTCGAAAATTTACTATAAAAATGCAGTTATTAAAATGCAAAATATATTTATTAAAATATAAAATATAATTGTTAAAATATATCATTTTTTACTCTGTGTATTTCAATCAAATTCATGATTTTTTCTTTAAAATATAGCAATATATTTTCGCTCTTTTTATCACAAAATATAAAATATATTTATTAAATTAGATGAAAAATAAATGGGAAGAAATAAAGAGAAAGGCATACGGGCGTCAATTTCGACTCTACATATTTCAATTGAATCTATAAAATGTTTTTAATATCACATCAAATTTTAAATTTGTTTTTATAACAATAGAGAAATGCAAACTCACCTCATTGTCTAGTGAAATTTATGTAGAGAAACTAAAATCGCAAACTATCCTCAGGAAATGATTGAAAAACATCTTGCAAAGGGAAAACCACGACTTAAAGAAAGAGAACAGATCCGTATGCAAGAAGAACAGTGTGGGTTTTGACACGCTTTATTAATCTAGGTCGATGTTTAGTACTGTAACCTAATTCCGTCCCTCTTTTACTTGCCCCTTAACTACATGAAAGTAAAATTTCTTTCTTTTGTGAAATATCAAAAAGAAGTTTTATTTTCATTCTCAAAAGGAAGTTATTTTTACAGACACTCACTTAGAACGAAGGGATCGTTTAATCTAAGTGCTTCGTAAACCAGGGTCAGTTATGGATATACAGTCAACTAAAAATTATATTTTTCTTTTATGTGCAGAGCCTGATTATCGCCTAGGCCCACACTATGTGGGCCTAGGGCTCACTCTTTCTGGGGGCCTCAATAATTAGTAAAATGTTCACAATATTACTTATAAAAAATTTTAAAAATTAGCGAAAGAAACAGTTTTTCTCGAAAAAGGCATTTTTTATTTCAAATTTTCTTTTTATTGGGATAAACCAAACTCGTGTAAACATTGCATTAATCAAATTCAAAAGTACAGCTGAATTTTAATAGGTGCAATTTTTGCTCCAACGGCTTAAGCAAATGCAACGAGAATGCATTTTCGCAAAGTCTCTTATAAATGATTAGTGTCAACAAGAACTTAAAACTTATTCTTAACAACTATGTAAAGCTGTAGATGGAAGGCTACAATCTTTAGAGTAACTCAGCTAATCATTGACTTTTAGCAAAAATCACCGTTTTCAATTGTTTATGGTCACCAAACAATTTTTAATTTCATACAACATTGTTTTGTCGTTTTATATTTTGCTTTAATATTTAGATGCGTAAACTTTTGAAATAATGCAATTCAATAGATTCTTTTAATTGTTGGGACTACTCTTCAGAAATTTAATTTCAAAATATTTTGTTAGGGACCCGGAAAATTTTGTGGGCCTTGGGCGTGAATTTGTCTTGATCGGTCCCTGTTTATGTGTAATTTTCTTTTAGGGGTCTGAGGGTGTTGATGTCATCAAGAAAGCATCAATTTACAATTTTTTTTATAACTTATATTAAATTTAACTTAGCATTCTGAATTTTTTACAAGAGTTTAACATAAGCACAGGCATTATTTAAATGCAAACACATTTTTGAAATACAGTATACTTTGGATATCTCAAAGTTGAAGGGACGCTAAAAAAATTTCGAGATAGCTGGTTTTCGAGATAACAAGTTCAGAACTAAATATGTTCTAAAAATTAGAAAAATATATTCTAAAATATTACTCTAAAAAGTTGAGTCATGATGCATAAGATTATCTACTATTAAATATGTATGTAATGATAGTTGACTATAAGTCTAAATACAACTATGATAATTTTATTTTTAAAAGTAAGACAAAAATAATTATGCAATAAGTAGAAAAGAATTAGTGTACAATAATATTGCATTGTGATATATCCGAAAAAATTCGACATAGCAAGGTTTAGAAAAGACATGTCTTTGACATAGGAATTCAAATTATCATTAGGTGTATATATGAGAGAAAAATATTTTTTTGACAAAACAAGTTTTTCGAAACATCGCAGTTCGAGATGTTAAGAGTATACTGTACTGCGAAGAATTATTATAATATAATCTTCTTTAGGGCTAAAATTTACTATGGCCGAAAAAAGATACTATGGAGCCTTGTACGCTCGATAAAATTCATAAAGACTTGATGACTTGAAACAACTTTTAACAGGACGACAAACGTGCTCTTTTTAAAAATCATATTATCTCTAAAGAAACGGAAAAACAAAGTAGTTTTAAATAGAAAACATTAATATTTTTAGATTTTCATTGAAAAAATATTGAAAGAAAATATATAAAACCTTTACCAACATTCAGCTAGTACGAATTTTTGTGCGCAAAGTGAAAGAATTTGAAGTAAAAAAAAAGCAGATTTATAAAGACAAAACTTTAAATGAATAACTTGACAAAATACTTAAGTTTGTATAAGATTTCAGTTTATAAAATAAGATTTTTAATTTTCTGTTTTCAGTGAGTGGGTTTCAGTAATTTTGTTGTAACTTTGGAAATTTGTTTAATAGTTTTCTTGATATCAAAAATTATTCAAAATTAAGCATGTCATTGCATGCATTTTTTTCAAAAAATCTAAAATTTTGAGAAGAAAAATTCTGTAAAGCCCTTAATAATTTTAAATAATGCTTGTTACGCGCCTATATTCGGATTCACATTAACTGAGCACATTATTTTATTTAATGTTTAAATTAAAAAATGTATTCACAATTAAGCAAATATAGCACAAGAAAATAATAGGAAATTAAAACGAACATTTAAACGTTTTTTTTTTTTTTTTTTTTTTTTTTTTTTTTTTTTCTTTGCTGTCGGACCATACTTAATTGGTCTGAATTAATATGGTCTGAGCATTTTAAGTAATAAAACATTGTGAAAAGTTTTTTCATCGAATCTTCGAATCTTTCACAACAGCCCGTAAAAAGATGCCATTTGGTATACAACTAATATTTGAAAAGCTTCAGCTCACTAAAATAATATTTAAACCCAGTCCCCAAGCGTCAAAATTTGAAGAAAAAAAGCATGATTTTTCTCTTAAGAATTGCACATTTTTTGCCATGAACTTCAAATGGATAGTTACAGAAACACAAATCTGGACTCATTAATAATTTTTTTAGCTTCTTTTATAATTAAAACCTCCTTGTAAAATGAATAAATTAAAACATACAAGGGTTTTTTTTGTTATAATCCTCCTAGCAAAATCAATTTTTTAAAGAGTTGTTGAAAACAATGTGGTATAGATTTTGTTAACTATCGTAAAATGGCTCAAGTAAGATAGATGTTAATAATTTTGTTACTATTTCGGTAAAAAAAAAAAATCAGGATTTTACAAAAAGAAGTGACAAAATCAGATTAAATTGATTTTTTCCCATGTATTATCTTTTTCGTAAATATATTTACACTGGTGACTAATGTCATGGGATAGTAATAAGCAAATATACAGATGGCAGTGGTATCGCTTACAAAACATATATAGGGATAATACATTGGCGGGACTTTATTTGCCTTCAAGTTATTCACCTGAGAATGATTTTATTGTTATTATTAAAGCAGGAAGAGAATTAACAGACTTTGAACGTAGAATGGTAGTAGGAGCTAGATGCATGAGACACTCCTAAATCTACAGTGTCAAGAGTGCGCCAAGAATAACTAAGTTCAAGCATACCCACTATGGACAACGTAGTGGCTGAAAGCCTGCACTTAGTGACCAAGACCACCAATTTGTGCATAGAATTGTCAGTGTTTAAAAAAAGTAACATTGTGTGAAATAACTGCAAGACTTGAAATAGACGTGTCCGTTAGGACAGTGCGGAAAAGTTTGTCTGCAAAGGGATACGGCAGCTGAAGACCATCTCGAATACCTTTACTAAGAACACGATATTCCGTCCAGCGCCTCTCCTGGGCTGGTGACCATATTGGTTGGACCATAGGCGATTGGATAACTGTAGCTTGGACAGATGAGTCACAATTTCAACTGGTCAGAACTGATTTCAAGTGCGACGCAGACACCATGAAACCATAGACCCAAGTTGTGTACAAGGCACTGTGCAATCTGGTGGTGGCTTCATAATGGTGTGGGCTGTTTTTTCATGGAATGGACCGGATTCTATAGTTCTATTGAACCTATCATTAACTGGATATGATTCTCTTCGTCTACTTGGAGATCACTTGTAGCCATTCCTGGATTTCATGTGTACAAACAAGAATGGAAATTTTATGTATGACGATACACAATGTCATCTGCCCTTAATTGTTCGCGACTGGTTTGAAGAACATTTTGGACAATTCCAGCGAATGATTTGGCCAGTTAGATCACCTGACATGAATCCAATTGAACATTTGTGGGATATAGTCCAGAGATCAGTTCGTACACAAAATCCTACACCTGCAACACTTTCACAATTATGGACATCTATCGAGGCTGCATGGCGAAATATTCCAACTAGAGAGTTCCAACTACTTGTTGAATCCATGACATGTCGAGTTGCTGCACTTCGTAGCTCTTAGTGAAATTGGCGGAAAAAAAATGTGGGAGAGCTCAGAGTCCAAGACATTTTATTTTTAAGAGAGGATGGGCGAGAGAAACAAAGATAACAAAGTAAATTAAAAATTCCTTGCCTAACTTGAAATTCTTTGCTAGAAGTGGATTGACCTTCAAAGCATAATTAATTCAAAACCAGTGGAAGATTCGTACGTGAGAGGTTTAGAACTAGAAGATTTTCAGTCTAGACTTGATGTTTGTTTAACGTAGTAAAAAACTGATGATTCTGATGAACATAATTGGGGGCAGAAATAAAATAAAAGTAACGCAAACAATACTTCAGTGGTGAAGAACTTGCATTTTGTCAGAGCAATTATTTAAAAATTTTCGCTACAATTTGCGCGTCATCATCGCACTTTAGTTTTAAGATCAATTTTCGGATTGAAAATCGAATCAAGTATTAGCTTTTAACTTTTTGTTTTTTAAATTTAAGGTAACTTCTATCGAAACAATCAATGAATAAAATTGTGATTGATGATGAGCTGGACAAATTAAAAAATAATGATGTTCCTATGCAATTGTTTCTAGACAATTACAAAACCCAAAATATATCTTCCAGTAGGAGACTAAAGAATCTTGTAATTGTGCTTGATATTTATAAATTGTGTCACACAAAACAAAAAAGGTCAAAACAAAATATCTTGTGGCGAATCTAAATAACAAAAATGTTTATTTTCAAAAAGCAGTTTTCCTAGATCTTTATAATCATCTTGTCTTTATAATCATCTGCATTATCAAGACATGACAATTAGCAACATAGTACTTCAATTTTGATTTAGTTTATTTATTTTTTTACGAAAATTTTGAAAATTATTAAATTAAATATGAAACGAATATAGTAACTCTGAGTAAAAGTATATGGTCAAAATTGTCATAATAAGGTGCATTTTTCCGGGTATGAAAACACTAAAAAACTAGCTAATTTTTACCGAATTGCTTTGCTTATGAGTTTGGTAAAAGTAAAAATCG